TTTTTCAGTCAGTTATCAACATAGAAACCTTATGACCTTATGATTTAGATGGCAGAAATATAACTCCACAGTGTGGATGTCGACATGACAGTCGAGTGGGTAACTAGGGGTGAAATGTTGTGACCCCTCCCCCTTGAAAAAATATTTGCTACGCCCTTGGGATGTCCGACTGCCCGGTTCTAGAAAAAAAATATTAGTTAATTGTTAGCCCCAAAATAGAACAGATTGACTGGCCTTTTCCAATGGATAGTATAATCTTTGAGCTTACCACCTCATAATAATTCTTTCTACGTTAAACAGGCTTTGACCCAAGTCCACATCTTTCCTAACTTGTCAACTTTCAAAAATAAACTATACACTGCTCACATCTCCATTGAATATATCGCTCCCAAGATCTATATATCAACTCTCGCAGCTGTCTGTTTTGAATGACTGTATCGATGTAAAAAGGAGAATTTCTTTTTTGATCACTCCTCGGATTGAGAGGGTAAAACGGACACAACAAGCACCTTTGTTACAGGAAACACAGGTCAACTCTCACAAGAGTCTCAGTAAACTATCGTATACCGGTTTCAGGGTAATGTTCGGCTCTAAGCTTGTAATCAACGGCTCAGAAGTGAACAATGTTGCATCGATTAAAAATGAAACTGCGTGCTCCAAACAGGTCTCACTTAACAAAAACGCTTCACTTTTGTGTTCACTGAATACACTGAATCATTTCTCAGTCGTCACAGGAGGAAAACTTTAGGAATTCTTCTAGTTTTCGTGCAATGCACGGTTTGTGGGTTTCACTCAACAACCTATACGTCAGCTTCAGTTTAACTCTTTACGGTATCCAATTTACAATTTCAACTTAGTTGATATAACCAAATTACTTTGTTACCCCTACCGACGCAGTACCACAGTTTCTTTAGCTGACTGTCGATCAATAAGTTGGGCGCGGTGGTGACCCGCTTGAACCACAGAAATGTTTTTTGAAAAAACTGGCACATTGAATCTGATTTGTGGAAAAAAATCAGTCATCACTACATAAACGACGAAGTCTTAGAAACTGAGAAAAGGGAATGGAATTCTTGACATGCGATGGGTGCGAAGATGAATACAACAAGTGACTATGTGAGTCTGTAGGCCGGGTTTGTAATACACACTCGTGTGTTGGGGCTTGTACAACTCGCTTAGGCAAATTAAGCAGTGGTACGTACTAGGACTCTGTACTTTCTTTTTAATTCTCCTTCAAAAGAGTTGACTTCTGCTACAGCGACGCTTCCTTTCTCTCTGCTCTAGCGAGAAGTACCAACGTATTAAGTACGAAAACCGTAGACATGTTTGGGTTAGCTGACCGTGAGAGTTTCTATAGTTTATCCGTTTATTTTGCAAAAAGGGGGAAACTGGGTGGCCCTCACCGAAGTACTCGTCGAGCGCCAAGGAAGCAATTGAACGCTAACAGCTGTGCACAGGAATCGCGCACGCAAACAGGAACTTCAGTGTGGGTAGAAATCAAGGTCAGCTTTACTAACGGAAACACGACCACCTATGAAACTAATTATTCTCAACCATAACAAGTGATTAAAATGTCTAACACGATAATAAGGAAATCCGCGAACTGAGCCAAAAAAATATAAAACTACCAGAACAACATTTAGGCGCAAAAGGCAAGGAATAACAAATCAAAAGGCTTAACTGGAAAAGTCTCAAAATAACAACTTCCAATTCATCTCACAACAAGTGCACAAACCGTTGTCTTCGATTGAAACTTTAATGTCTAAAAAGGATAAAGATTTGTCGGAAATTTCTCAGGTATATATATATATCTTATTAACCAAGCGCGAGGGCCGTACTGGGAGAATATCGGTCTGAGGTCTTGACAGTACAAGGTCCGTGGTCCGTACT